GAACCTCAAACTCTGATTTGAGATTTTGAGTTTTCTGGGAGAACCTCAAACTCTGATGGTTTGAGGATCTGAGCCTTTTTTGCAGAACATGAAATCTGGATGGATGAAGAACTTCGGTCTTTTTGGAGAACCTAAATTTCTCATGGTTTGAGATTTTGAGCCTTTTTTGGAGAACCTCAAATTCTGCTTTGAGATTTTGAATCTTTTTGGAGAACCTCAGATTCTGATGAAGATTTGAGTCTTGCCTGGGACCCCAAACCTGGACAGTTGTGCAGATTTCAGTTTTGCTGGGAGATCTCAAAATCCAAAATTTCCTCCTCCCCAGCTGCTCCAGGCTCTCATTGGTGCTGGATTTAGGGCATTTCCAACCTAAAAAATTCCATTATACCATTAATTTTCCAGCCACCAGCGAAGCACAAAATGAGACACAAACCCAACAACCTTTGAAGAGGAAATGGATTTATTTTGCTTTTATAAAACCAACCCAAAACCCCACCTGGAACCCAACCAGCCACCCCAAAAGCGGTCGGGCTCCTCCTTTCCAGCCTCTGCTAAAAAATAGGTGCTCTGATCTCTACACAAACATTAAAATCCAACTAATCAGCCTGGAGGGGGAGCCTGGGTTTAATTAATTTTGGCTAACGAGGACCTTCTGCTTGGACCTTTCCTGCTCTGTGCTCCGGCAGGGAGGGAATTGCTGCCACTCCTGCGACTCCAGAAATATTCCAAACGCACTGATCACGCCGGGAAGTTAAAATAAAAAATTTAACTTTTTTTTCTAAAAAAGTTAATTTACGAAAGCAACAATCAGCAACGAACAACCCAGGGTTGATGTGCTGGGAGTGAAAAGCACGTGGTAAAAAAAAAAAAAACAAAAAAAACCCCAAAAAACCAAAAACAGGAGTGCCCAAATCCCCCAAATATTCCCACAGGAATTGGGGACAACGTGTAAGGTCCTGGAGAGGAAGAGTGACCCAGAGGATGCACAGAATGTTACACCTGGGAGCAGCTCCGTGCCAGCTCTGCTCTGTCCTGGATCCAACCATCCCTGGATCCTGCAATCCCTGGATAAAACAATCCCTGGGTCCTGCAATCCCTGGATCCTGCAATCCCTGGATAAAACAATCCCTGGATCCAACCACCCCTGGGTCCAACAATCCCTGGATAAAACAATCCCTGGATCCAACAATCCCTGGATAAAACAATCCCTGGATCCAACAATCCCTGGATCCTGCAATCCCTGGATCCTGCAATCCCTGGATAAAACAATCCCTGGATCCTGCAATCCCTGGATCCAACAATCCCTGGATAAAACAATCCCTGGATAAAACAATCCCTGGATAAACCACCCACTGGCCTTGAGTTACAGCTCTGGTGTTTCCCCACCATGTTTGATCTCTGAAGAACCTCACCACTTACTCCCAGTTCCCAAAATCCTTCATCCCGAATTTCTGCTGGCTTCCCCACCTCCCCGATCCCAGCTGAAGCTCCGTGTGAAGAGCCTGGAAGATGAAAATCAGGGATCCTTCCAGGAGCCACCACAAACAGCTGGAACAACGCCTGACCTACACCAGGTCAGCCTCCCTGTCCACAAAATCCCTGGAAAAATCCCACGGCACTTGAAATTCAGCTGTTTCAGGCTCAGGAAAAACAGAAACTGGGAATTTAAAAAAAATCCTTCAGGATATCAGGATGGAGCTGCAGGTCCTGGCAGCGCCTCGCTGGCTCTGCGTGGGATGGAATTCCCTTTTCCCACACCAGGATTTGGGGCTGGGGCTAAACCAGTGCTCCCAGCACATCATGGAGCTTTTCCCTTTTCCCACTCTGCCTCCCAGCAAGGATGAGGCCAGGAAAAACTGGGAAGGGGATTATCCCAGGGAGCTGATAGAAATCAGCAGTAAAAATAGAGGGAGGAAGTTTTGGAAAGGTGGCCTTGGCTCAGGGAATGCCTGGGAGGGAAAGTGCTGTCATTCATCACTTTGGGATTTATTTCCTTGTTTTTCCTTTGCTATCAAACCCCCTCCATCCCTCCTGGATAACTGTCCCAGCTGAGCAGCACGGGAACAAGGTGCTGCTCCAGGAAAACTGCAGGGAAGCTCCAGGAAAAGCAGCCAGGGGTGACACTGAGGGACAGGCTGGCACAAAAGCCATGAGGAAGCTGATCCCAAGGGATGGCAGGAGAGCTGGGAGAGGAAACCCAGCCCCTCTCAGGATCCACTGGGCGGACTGGGAGATTCAGCTGGGGCTGTATCCCACATCCTCCCAGCACAGGGATCAGGGATTCCCACTGGAATGGGGCTCAGCCATCAGCTCCAGACACCGGGACAATGAAAGGATGGCACCAGACTGGCTCAGGGTCCAGCTGCTCCAAGGCAACAGCATGGAAGATGGGCTCCCAACAAAACCCTGGATCAGCTGCTCCTTAAAAAGGGTTATTCCAATGGAAAAAAAAAAAAAAAAAAAAAAAGTCTATATTTCCTCTAGCTTTATGGGTACAAGGTCCTCTCTAGCTTCTCCCAGTTCTGGAAGTACTCAGTCTGACTGACCTCCAATATGAAAGGGTTTTTTCATGCCCATTACCTCTTGGATAACTGCAGCTAAAATCAAGAGAGTTCTTGGGATATCAGGTCACAATCTAAATGAGTGTGAGGCATAGCTGATCTCACTTTTATTTAAAGCCTCA